CCCCGGATCTTCACGGGCCTGCTTATTGCTAGTTCTTCTTTCATTATCATTGATCATGTCAAGGGACAATGCTTTGTCAGGTGGCCATTCTGTTTCAGCTCTCAACCAAAACTTGGCCCAGACCACCATAAGTCATTGTGGATGAGTTGTGAAACCAACAGACCTCTTGTTAAGACATCTGCAGGATTTTCTGCAGATGGTACGTGTCGCCATTGAGATGGATTTGTAGTGCTGTGTATTTCTCCAACTCTGTTGGCAACAAACGGTTTGAAAGTACGACTATTGTTTCTTATCCAGAACAAAACATTCTTACTATCTGACCATAAGGTAACTGTTTCAATCTCAATCTGGAGGACTTTGACCACTTCAGAGACAAGTCTGAGGCCAAGTGCAACTGCCATCAGTTCAAGGTGTGGTATGCTACAGGCTTTCAACGGAGCTACATGACTCTTTGCAGCAACTATCCTGCTTGACTTCTTTCCGTCCATGTAAGTATAGATGGCGTAAACAATGGTGCCATATGCATCCTGTGATGCATCAACAAAGGTATGAATCGAGACTGAACAAACCTCAGCATCAAGGCGCAAATATCTGGGTACCTGAACACCTTGTACTTCCTTCCATTGTACCAACCATGTTTCTATTTTCTGTTGCAGTTGTTGAGGCTGTTCATCATCCCAATCGTGTCCTGTTAACCACATTTCTTGTAACAGTATCTTTACAGTAATGATAAATGGTCCTATGAATCCAAGATGATCAAATAGTTTTGCAATGAAAACCTCTTTTAGTGGTTTCTTCTTCAAGAAACTTTCCTACTTATAACATATCTTTTTCAGCAACCAAGTGCTTTCACCGATGGTAAATGGCCCTTAAACAGATCAATTTCAGAAGCCCTATCTTCTTCAGGAATGTTATCAAGGACATTCAGGGAATTGGACAACCATTTCCAAGCATGCATTGAAGCACTGGACCATAACTGAGTTAATTGGTTGTACAGTTCTATACCTTCATCCACATTCTCTACTGAGTCCATACTGTCATCCATGTATGTGGATTTAATGACGGTCTCTGCAGCCATAGGCAGATCTACAAGATGTGCCTTAGCATGTTCCTGGGTAACATACTGAGCCAAGAAAGGAGAAGAGGTGTTCCCAAATACAAGACAACTGAACTCGTATGCCTCAGGAGGCATATCTGTATTCATAGATCTCCAGTGAAATCTGTGGTAAGGTCTATCTTCCAGTGATATTTTGATCTGCAAGAACATCTCTGCTATATCACAAATGAGAGCTAATGGTTTTCTTCTGAACCTTATCAGCACATCAAAGAGCACACTATGAAGCTTCATGCAATGATGTGTCCTGATACTTTGCCAAAGCATTAAAAACAATACAAGACATTTGTTGTGGTCTTATCTGGGCACAATATCGGGAAATGAGGAAGATACCACACATCTTCTCTCGATTCCTCATGATCTACCTTACGGATATAACCTCTTTCAACATACTAGGCTAGTGCTGTGTCCTGGTCTTTGGATAACTTCTCTTCAGTGCTAAGAAACCTACGAAATGCCATGGCATTATCATTTGGCAATTATTGGACGTTATTCCAAGGAATACCAATCTAGTATCGGCACACGTGTGTCTCCTGTCCTTTGTGAAGAGCTTGCTCATCATCTGGTAGAAGGTGTTTCAGAGGAGTCTTCAACTCTTCAACTTCCCAAAATGACTTCTCCAATGAGCACAATTCACTGGACCCTTGACGATCTGGGGTAGAATAGGTCTTAAGCAACCCATGCTTGCAGTGAAAGGCGACTATGCTTGTCATAAAAGATGACTAATGGGATAGGGTGGTCAGGCTTGCTGACTTGGTTGATACATGTCATCAATCCCAATTGCGTGGATGCTCATGATATTAATCACTGGATTGTCTGGTCCAGACTCCATTATTTACAGACCGCCGACATATAGCTGGAATATTGCTGAGGGCGGAGTTAAACAACAAACAAACCAACCAACTATTCACTGTCTTTGCTGTATGTGTGGTATGTATATGCACAGTGCGTTTGGGATGTTGCCTGACTGCTTACATTGCCTATGCATGTCCACCCCAGAGGCGTTCTCCTTGCAATAGTATCACCTACATCTCCACAAACATCTTCGAATGACTGATGTAATTGCACATGATCAATACCTATCAGGAGATCGATGATTGGACGTCGCCCAACACTTGGAAAGTTTATGTTTTTCAAGTGACTCCATCAGTGTCTGCATTTTTGCCAATCAATCACTTGCAAGTCGCCCGTGACCCTAGTGGTCAGTGCTGTCATTTCCATATCCACCCTACCATCTTCACTTTCAATTCCAAATACACATGTACCACTGGCTTAGTCTCAAATGTTTCTTTCTTACCATTCAAGACACTCACAGATATTTTCTCTATTGCCCCCTGCATCCCTAATTCTGAAGCTACATCAGCATTAATGTATGACCTGGTACTTGCACCATCCAATAATGCGTTGGCACGGATCCTTTTAGTTCCATTCTGCAGCACTACTGGGACTGTCTGAAGTGCTGTGAGCGTTTGGTCAGATTCCAATGGCATAGTTGCATGTGCTCTTTCAGAAAAGCCCTGGTTTTGTTTGTGAGCCTAACTGAGTATCCTCTATATTCACAAGTAAACTATTTTCTGCAAAGTCCAGATTGCCATGTGCAATGTCTGTTCTGGGTATGTTATCACATAAGAGTCTATTGTGGGTTTTCGTACACTCATTGATCCCATACCGATATGCATATCTACATTGTGAGCCAAGATGATTACCTCCAAGACAACGAAAACAATTATTTCATTTTCTTAGCAGTGTTCCATCTCTCAGAAATATTCATATTCTTGAACACATAGCATTTCCATAACACATGCCTTGCATGTGACCTCCCTCTTTGACTTTCTATTTAGCACACACTGACAAATGAGCAGGACTCTTTCCTTTTGAACTCTAGTCTTATGCTTTTATCAGGAACACCATGTATTGTTTCTGCAGCTATCGTTTGGTATTCAGCTTCCTGAAGTACCCATCTCTCAGAGTCTCGACAGACTCTTGCCTATCTCTGTCATGAAGCCATCTTTGGTATTGTGCGATCATTGACTCAGTCATTTTCGTATGTAAAGTGGCATACAATGACCCATTACCAAGCTCTTCTACTCTATCTGCTTCTTTCAGATTAACAACTGCAATGTCCAAGACATCAGCAATTCTTTGAACATCTCTGGCATTGCCTGGGCGAATAGGCTTCAAATTTGTCACTTCTTCTAACTGTAACGCTGCTTGACACCTCCTACCACCATACTTTCTTTCTAGGCGCTCTAATGCAGTGTCATAAGCTACAGGACTATGCCCCAAACCTTGTACTGCTTTCAATAGCTTGTATTCAGCAGTGGCTGGTGCTTGGTCTATGCATGTCAGAAATGCAGCTTTCCAACTTTCATAGGATTTCATATCACCAGAAAATACGGGGATAGAAACATGTTTGAGTTGTTTCCATAGATCAGTTCCTTTTACATAACAGTGTGACTCTGTTTCATAAGGACGTGTGCGTTCCTGCGGTGTGCTATGAACATCATGCCCAGTGGCTTTATTGTGTATACTTTGCTCACTTCCTGCAGCCTGTTGCTCAGGACTATATATTCTATTGAGTCTCCGACTTGACATGGAAGTCACATCTGACCTATTATCTAAGTGACATTGTTCCTGATCAACTACAGCATTAGTTTTATCTTCAAGATGACTGATCTCTTGGTCTGTTTTAGTGACATTTTCACCTCGCTGATTCTTTGCATAAGCCAGTGTGAGTTTTGCTTTCACCTGACTTTCATTCACTATATCTATGTCATATCTAATGTCTATTCGAGATTGTTGGTCAGGAGATTCGAGTAAATTGTACAGCTTGTTTTTGGCTTTTGTGAATGTTGACTTAACATTGGCTTTTTGTTGTTTCAGTTTTAAAATGTTCTCCAGTTTTAACAGAGACCTGTTTGTTTCTTTGGCCAGAGACTAATCGCTCTTTACAGAGCCTTCGTCCTATAGATACGACATTAATTTGACTTACCGTTTGGAAACCACACTCTGCAACCATATGGGAATGAGGCAGTTCTTATTCCCCGTTACATAAACAAGTCAAAAAGATCAGGTCGGACATTTAATGAGACAAAAGACAGAAACACAATCCTTCCTTGCAAAACTGAATAAGTCCCCTCAAAATGACACTTTTTCTGTATATTCAACGAAAGTGTGAATAATTGACCACTTTCTGTTATAAAGTGGTATTAACTTCCCGATAATGGAAGTTAACGGTACTCCAAATCAATCTCCAGACTGGCGTTCTAAGGTTACAACGAATAAATGTCAACTAAAATGTTTTGCAATTCAACATAGTGGTTTGTCACATACAGAACATGAAAAACACGAGATTAACAAAAAAGAACATGCGCAAGTGGTATGATTGGGCGAGCACTTTCAAGTTAATTCATGAGTGTATTTGGGCGAGCTATAACAAAACAAACCGAGAACAGCTGTTTCCTTCTGTTCACAGGGTACTATGTGTTGTGAGGGCAACTACGGTTCCTGATCGTTTGAGTACCTCCAGATGCAACTTAATTTCAGACCCAGCCTTACCTGTATTACAGGACTAGTGAAGTTGAACATACCCATGGGTTGGAGACAAAGTGGCTGTCTAGTCTAGTCTGTGCCCTGGCCCGACCACCAAGTCGGAAAAGGGGTATTGCGATTGTAGAAAAGGTAATGATTAGCACAGGAGCATGCTGGGAGCAAGGTGGTCAGAGGGTGTGTTCGGGGATGGTTTTACATTTTTCTACACTGTTATATGATCAAGGAAAGAAGGAATATTGGATTCTGTTGTGTCAGGATAAGTATATAAACAAGGGGAATACTCTGTTTTAAACAAGTGTTTTGTTATGACCAAAGTCTATGTTGACTGTTTCAGCTGGCAGATGCTCTTCTACTTGATGTCCTTCCTATATGGAATGTTCGTTTTGTGGGATGTGAGTACACTAGCTTATATACATGTCCTGTGTCACTCATAAAACATTTGCCCTCTTTCCCACCTCTAATACCTCATGAATTGTTTGTGTTAATTTCTTTATTGAATGATATCATAATGTATGTTTATTAAGAGGAAGGACGTCTATGGGAAGTGGATGATCACAATATCTGCAATGTATTGATGGGTGAGGGACACCATGTTGTCTGTGACCGACACCTCTCCCTGTTGTCTGTGACCGACACCTCTCCCTGTTGTCTGTGACCTACACCTCTCCCTGTTGTCTGTGACGGACACCTCTCCCTGTTGTCTGTGACGGACACCTCTCCCTGTTGTCTGTGACCAACACCTCTCCCTGTTGTCTGTGACCGACACCTCTCCCTGTTGTCTGTGACCGACACCTCTCCCTGTTGTCTGTGACCGACATCTCTCCCTGTTGTCTGTGACCGACACTTCTCCCTGTTGTCTGTGACCGACACCTCTCCCTGTTGTCTGTGACCGACACCTCTCCCTGTTGTCTGTGACCGACACCTCTCCCTGTTGTCTGTGACCAACACCTCTCCCTGTTGTCTGTGACCGACACCTCTCCCTGTTGTCTGTGACCAACACCTCTTCCTGTTGTCTGTGACCGACACCACTCCCTGTTGTCTGTGACGGACATCTCTCCTTGTTGTCTGTGACCGACACCTCTCCCTGTTGTCTGTGACCAACACCTCTCCCTGTTGTCTGTGACCGACACCTCTCCCTGTTGTCTGTGACCGACACCTCTCCCTTTTGTCTGTGAGCGACACCTCTCCCTGTTGTCTGTGACTGACACCTCTCCCTGTTGTCTGTGACCGACACCTCTCCCTGTTGTCTGTGACCGACACCTCTCCCTGTTGTCTGTGACCGACACCTCTCCCTGTTGTCTGTGACCGACACCTCTCCCTGTTGTCTGTGACCGACACCTCTCCCTGTTGTCTGTGACTGACACCTCTCCCTGTTGTCTGTGACCGACACCTCTCCCTGTTGTCTGTGACCGACACCTCTCCCTGTTGTCTGCCTGCAGAAGCCGTGGCTGTGGGACACAACACATTGCTGGAAAGGCTGGCCTAAACAGGTATGATAATCGTCGTTCATGATGACAACACATGCCTTTTCGAAAGTCATGGGAAATATATAAGCATAAGTCTTCTTCAAGCCATAGTAATGGTCGTGATCTCTTGGATAACTTAAGGGCAGCTAATATTAGTCCACACAGATGGGAGTGGCTTCTCTTTGACTATATGCCTTTCACTAGTTGTGAACCTTGCCATGTGTTAATGTAGTGAAATTGCTGAGCTCTACCTATAATTCATTTGGGTCTCATTCGTGTCAATGATTTGTCTTTGGTTATCATTAAAATAAACTACAATTAAATACTGCCGGTGTATGATGGTGGACTGTGCCTGTGTATGATGGTGGACTGTGCCAGGTGTATGATGGTGGACTGTGCCAGGTGTATGATGGTGGACTGTGCCTGTGTATGATGGTGGACTGTGCCAGGTGTATGATGGTGGCCTGTGTCATGTGTATGATGGTGGACTGTGCCAGGTGTATAATGGTGGACTGCCAGGTGTATGATGGTGGACTGTGCCTATGTATGATGGTGGACTGTACCAGGTGTATGATGGTGGACTGTGCCAGGTGTATGATGGTGGACTGTGCCTGTGTATGATAGTGGACTGTGCCTGTGTATGATGGTGGACTGTGCCTGTGTATGATGGTGGACTGTGCCAGGTGTATGATAGTGGACTGTGCCAGGTGTATGATGGTGGACTGTGCCAGGTGTATGATGGTGGACTGTGCCTGTGTATGATGGTGGACTGTGCCAGGTGTATGATGGTGGACTGTGCCAGGTGTATGATGGTGGACTGTGCCTGTGTATGATAGTGGACTGTGCCAGGTGTATGATGGTGGACTGTGCCTGTGTATGATGGTGGACTGTGCCAGGTGTATGATGGTGGACTGTGCCTGTGTATGATAGTGGACTGTGCCAGGTGTATGATGGTGGACTGTGCCAGGTGTATGATGGTGGACTGTGCCAGGTGTATGATGGTGGACTGTGCCTGTGTATGATGGTGGATTGTGCCACGTGTATGATGGTGGACTGTGCCAGGTGTATGATGGTGGACTGTGCCAGGTGTATGATAGTGGACTGTGCCAGGTGTATGATGGTGGACTGTGCCTATGTATGATGGTGGACTGTACCAGGTGTATGATGGTGGACTGTGCCAGGTGTATGATGGTGGACTGTGCCTGTGTATGATAGTGGACTGTGCCAGGTGTATGATGGTGGACTGTGCCTGTGTATGATGGTGGACTGTGCCAGGTGTATGATGGTGGACTGTGCCAGGTGTATGATGTGTGCTCTGTGTTGCAGCATGTCACCAATGATCTGTACTACTTTTATCTGGTGGAGCTGGGCTTCTACTGGTGCCTGCTCTTCACACTTTTCTATGATGTCAAGCGCAAGGTAGGTCAATAACAATAATTAGGAATCTTCCATTCAATCAAATACTGTTGAAAGTCACTTACACAATTATCATGCTTTATCAAAATGTAAGATAGCTGCAAATTACTTGATCACCCTGCTGTTTTTCAGGACTTTTGGGAAATGGCTACACATCACTTGATTAACATGCTGTTGTTTTTCAGGACTTTTGGGAAAAGGCTACACATCACTTGATTAACATGCTGTTGTTTTTCAGGACTTTTGGGAAATGGCTACACATCACTTGATCACGATGCTACTGTTGTACTTCTCCTGGATCACTAACTATGTCCGTGTGGGGACACTGGTCCTAGTTGTGCATGATGCTTCTGACCACTGGATGGCCGTAAGACATTGCCTCTTCTTTGTCCCCTGGCACTACCTCAACTACCTCCAGTACATCCACTACATCCACTACCACCACTACTACCCTCACCACCTCCTCTTCCCTCTCCCTTACCAACCTCCTCTCCCTCCACCATCTCCTCCACCACCACCACCACTACCTCTTCTACCTCCTCCTTCTTCACCACCTCCTCTCCCTTCTCCCTCCACCACCTCTTCTACCTCCACCTGCTCCACCCCCTCCTCTCCCCCTCCCTCCACCACCTCTTCTACCTCCTCCTCCTTCTTCACCACCTCCTCTTCCTTCTCCCTCCACCACCTCTTCTACCTCCACCTGCTCCACCCCCTCCTCTCCCCCTCCCTCCACCACCTCTTCTACCTCCTCCTCCTTCTTCGTCACCTCCTCTTCCTTCTCCCTCCACCACCTCTTCTACCTCCACCTGCTCCACCCCCTCCTCTCCCCCTCCCTCCACCACCTCTTCTACCTCCTCCTCCTTCTTCGTCACCTCCTCTTCCTTCTCCCTCAACCACCTCTTCTACCTCCACCTGCTCCACCCCCTCCCTCCACCACCTCTTCTACCTCCACCTGCTCCACCCCCTCCTCTCCCCCTCCCTCCACCACCTCTTCTACCTCCTCCTCCTTCTTCACCACCTCCTCTTCCTTCTCCCTCCACCACCTCTTCTACCTCCACCTGCTCCACCCCCTCCTCTCCCCCTCCCTCCACCACCTCTTCTACCTCCTCCTCCTTCTTCACCACCTCCTCTTCCTTCTCCCTCCACCACCTCTTCTACCTCCACCTGCTCCACCCCCTCCTCTCCCCCTCCCTCAACCACCTCTTCTACCTCCTCCTCCTTCTTCACCACCTCCTCTTCCTCCCTCCACCACCTCTTCTACCTCCACCTGCTCCACCCCCTCCTCTCCCCCTCCCTCCACCACCTCTTCTACCTCCTCCTCCTTCTTCACCACCTCCTCTTCCTCCCTCCACCACCTCTTCTACCTCCACCTGCTCCACCCCCTCCTCTCCCCCTCCCTCCACCACCTCTTCTACCTCCTCCTCCTTCTTCACCACCTCCTCTTCCTTCTCCCTCCACCACCTCTTCTACCTCCACCTGCTCCACCCCCTCCTCTCCCCCTCCCTCCACCACCTCTTCTACCTCCTCCTCCTTCTTCACCACCTCCTCTTCCTCCCTCCACCACCTCTTCTACCTCCACCTGCTCCACCCCCTCCTCTCCCCCTCCCTCCACCACCTCTTCTACCTCCTCCTCCTTCTTCACCACCTCCTCTTCCTTCTCCCTCCACCACCTCTTCTACCTCCACCTGCTCCACCCCCTCCTCTCCCCCTCCCTCAACCACCTCTTCTACCTCCTCCTCCTTCTTCACCACCTCCTCTTCCTTCTCCCTCCACCACCTCTTCTACCTCCACCTGCTCCACCCCCTCCTCTCCCCCTCCCTCCACCACCTCTTCTACCTCCTCCTCCTTCTTCGTCACCTCCTCTTCCTTCTCCCTCAACCACCTCTTCTACCTCCACCTGCTCCACCCCCTCCCTCCACCACCTCTTCTACCTCCACCTGCTCCACCCCCTCCTCTCCCCCTCCCTCCACCACCTCTTCTACCTCCTCCTCCTTCTTCACCACCTCCTCTTCCTTCTCCCTCCACCACCTCTTCTACCTCCACCTGCTCCACCCCCTCCTCTCCCCCTCCCTCCACCACCTCTTCTACCTCCTCCTCCTTCTTCACCACCTCCTCTCCCCTCTCCCTCCACCACCTCTTCTATCTCCACCTGCTCCACCCCCTCCCTCCACCACCTCTTCTACCTCCTCCTCCTTCTTCACCACCTCCTCTCCCCTCTCCCTCCACCACCTCTTCTACCTCCACCTGCTCCACCCCCTCCTCTCCCCCTCCCTCCACCACCTCTTCTACCTCCTCCTCCTTCTTCACCACCTCCTCTTCCTTCTCCCTCCACCACCTCTTCTACCTCCACCTGCTCCACCCCCTCCTCTCCCCCTCCCTCCACCACCTCTTCTACCTCCTCCTCCTTCTTCACCACCTCCTCTCCCCTCTCCCTCCACCACCTCTTCTATCTCCACCTGCTCCACCCCCTCCCTCCACCACCTCTTCTACCTCCTCCTCCTTCTTCACCACCTCCTCTCCCCTCTCCCTCCACCACCTCTTCTACCTCCACCTGCTCCACCCCCTCCTCTCCCCCTCCCTCCACCACCTCTTCTACCTCCTCCTCCTTCTTCACCACCTCCTCTCCCCTCTCCCTCCACCACCTCTTCTACCTCCACCTGCTCCACCCCCTCCTCTCCCCCTCCCTCCACCACCTCTTCTACCTCCTCCTCCTTCTTCACCACCTCCTCTTCCTTCTCCCTCCACCACCTCTTCTACCTCCACCTGCTCCACCCCCTCCTCTCCCCCTCCCTCCACCACCTCTTCTACCTCCTCCTCCTTCTTCACCACCTCCTCTTCCTCCCTCCACCACCTCTTCTACCTCCACCTGCTCCACCCCCTCCTCTCCCCCTCCCTCCACCACCTCTTCTACCTCCTCCTCCTTCTTCACCACCTCCTCTTCCTTCTCCCTCCACCACCTCTTCTACCTCCACCTGCTCCACCCCCTCCTCTCCCCCTCCCTCCACCACCTCTTCTACCTCCTCCTCCTTCTTCACCACCTCCTCTCCCCTCTCCCTCCACCACCTCTTCTATCTCCACCTGCTCCACCCCCTCCCTCCACCACCTCTTCTACCTCCTCCTCCTTCTTCACCACCTCCTCTCCCCTCTCCCTCCACCACCTCTTCTATCTCCACCTGCTCCACCCCCTCCCTCCACCACCTCTTCTACCTCCTCCTCCTTCTTCACCACCTCCTCTCCCCTCTCCCTCCACCACCTCTTCTATCTCCACCTGCTCCACCCCCTCCCTCCGCCACCTCTTCTACCTCCTCCTCCTTCTTTACCACGTCCTCTTCCTTCTCCCTCCACCACCTCTTCTACCTCCACCTGCTCCACCCCCTCCTCTCCCCCTCCCTCCACCACCTCTTCTACCTCCTCCTCCTTCTTCACCACCTCCTCTTCCTCCCTCCACCACCTCTTCTACAATCTAGTAATTGACAAGTATCGATGAGAATTGGGTGTAGGATGTTCTGTAGGAATGTTTAATGTCCAATGCTATACATGTGGCATCAATGTTCTGTAGGAATGTTTAATGTCCAATGCTATACATGTGGCATCAATGTTCTGTAGGAATGTTTAATGTCCAATGCTATACATGTGGACATCCATGTCCTGTAGGAATGTTTAATGTCCAATGCTATACATGTGGACGTCCATGTCCTGTAAGAATGTTTAATGTCCAATGCTATACATGTGGCATCAATGTTCTGTAGGAATGTTTAATGTCGTGTGCTATACATGTGGACATCCATGTCCTGTAGGAATGTTTAATGTCGTGTGCTATACATGTGGCATCAATGTTCTGTAGGAATGTTTAATGTCATATGCTATACATGTGACATCCATGTCCTGTAGGAATGTTTAATGTCCTATGCTATACATGTGGACATCCATGTCCTGTAGGAATGTTTATTGTCCAATGCTATACATGTGGACATCTATGTCCTGTAAGAATGTTTAATGTCGTGTGCTATACATGTGGCATCAATGTTCTGTAGGAATGTTTAATGTCCTATGCTATACATGTGGACGTCCATGTCCTGTAGGAATGTTTAATGTCGTGTGCTATACATGTGGACATCCATGTCCTGTAGGAATGTTTAATGTCCTATGCTATACATGTGGCATCAATGTCCTGTAGGAATGTTTAATGTCCTATGCTATACATGTGGACGTCCATGTCCTGTAAGAATGTTTAATGTCGTGTGCTATACATGTGGACATCCATGTCCTGTAGGAATGTTTAATGTCATGTGCTATACATGTGGCATCAATGTCCTGTAGGAATGTTTAATGTCATGTGCTATACATGTGGACATCTATGTCCTGTAGGAATGTTTAATGTCATGTGCTGTACATGTGGCATCAATGTTCTGTAGGAATGTTTAATGTCGTGTGCTATACATGTGGCATCAATGTCCTGTAAGAATGTTTAATGTCGTGTGCTATACATGTGGACATCCATGTCCTGTAGGAATGTTTAATGTCCAATGCTATTCATGTGGACATCTATGTCCTGTAAGAATGTTTAATGTCGTGTGCTATACATGTGGCATCAATGTTCTGTAGGAATGTTTAATGTCCTATGCTATACATGTGGACGTCCATGTCCTGTAGGAATGTTTAATGTCGTGTGCTATACATGTGGCATCAATGTTCTGTAAGAATGTTTTATGTCCAATGCTATACATGTGGCATCAATGTTCTGTAGGAATGTTTAATGTCGTGTGCTATACATGTGGACATCCATGTCCTGTAAGAATGTTTTATGTCCAATGCTATACATGTGGCATCAATGTTCTGTAGGAATGTTTAATGTCGTGTGCTATACATGTGGACATCCATGTCCTGTAGGAATGTTTAATGTCCAATGCTATACATGTGGACATCCATGTCCTGTAAGAATGTTTAATGTCGTGTGCTATACATGTGGACATCAATGTTCTGTAGGAATGTTTAATGTCATGTGCTGTACATGTGGACAGCCATGTCCTGTAGGAATGTTTAATGTCGTGTGCTATACATGTGGCATCAATGTTCTGTAGGAATGTTTAATGTCCTATGCTATACATGTGGACATCTATGTCCTGTAGGAATGTTTAATGTCCCATGCTATACATGTGGCATCAATGTCCTGTAGGAATGTCCTGTGCTAAACATGTAGATGTTGTCTCTGTTCAGGCAGCTAAGATGGCCAAATACCTCAAGAAGCAGATGCTCTGTGAAGTGTTGTTCTTCATCTTCATCCTGATCTGGGTGTTCTGTCGTCTGTACCTCTACCCCTTCAGGTGAGCCACTATTACTAACTTCATCCTGATCTGGGTGTTCTGTCGTCTGTACCTCTACCCCTACAGGTGAGCCACTATAACTTACTTCATCCTGATCTTGGTGTTCTGTCGTCTGTACCTCTACCCCTTCAGGTGAGCCACTATTACTAACTTCATCCTGATCTGGGTGTTCTGTCGTCTGTACCTCTACCCCTTCAGGTGAGCCACTATAACTTACTTCATCCTGATCTGGGTGTTCTGTCGTCTGTACCTCTACCCCTTCAGGTGAGCCACTATTACTAACTTCATCCTGATCTGGGTGTTCTGTCGTTTGTACCTCTACCCCTTCAGGTGAGCCACTATAACTTACTTCATCCTGATCTGGGTGTTCTGTCGTCTGTACCTCTACCCCTTCAGGTGAGCCACTATAACTTACTTCATCCTGATCTGGGTGTTGTGTCGTCTGTACCTCTACCCCTTCAGGTGAGCCACTATTACTTACTTCATCCTGATCTGGGTGTTCTGTCGTCTGTACCTCTACCCCTTCAGGTGAGCCACTATAACTAACTTCATCCTGATCTGGGTGTTCTGTCGTCTGTACCTCTACCCCTTCAGGTGAGCCACTATTACTAACTTCATCCTGATCTGGGTGTTCTGTCGTCTGTACCTCTACCCCTACAGGTGAGTCACTGTCACCAACTGGCTGTTAACTGGCACCCTTCTGCTCACTGAAAATTCAGTAGCCTTGGTGAAAGGGCGCTGCATCAGGTGTTTGCTGGAATTTGGAGAGGTGGCAGAGACTTCATCAGTGATGAGAATATTTGTGACAAATGATTGTGTGTGTTTGAAGGTGAAGGTCACTCACTGTGTTATCAAGGCTTGTGTACACAATATTTTGAATACTTCTGATTGGAATTCACTTGCGAATATTTCATCTACCAGTTTTGTAAACATGTCTATCTTTTTTTTCATTTTCAAATGCAGGTTAATAATTTACACAGTAAAGTGAAGTCAAGACAAAATTATGGTCAAAACTGCCAAACAACATTTCATGAACTCTGTTTCAGTGATGCCAGTGAACTGTTTTATTGTGTTGATATCTGTGAATACTTCATCTCTGTAAATAATGTTACAGGATATTAAAGACGACCTACTTTGAAGTACATGACTATGTTTCGGTGGGGACATGCTTTTGGCTGTTCAACTTTCTGCTGGCTGTCCTGCAAGTTCTACACATTCTGTGGACATACTTCATACTGCGAGTGATAATCATGAAAGTTACCAAGGGATCGGTAAGGCTGCCTGCACCACCAGTGGCACAAGTCACTTAGTCTGGTGTTGTCACATTGCTCTATGTGAACCTCCGTGGCCATTCCACTGTTTGTCAAGAACACTGGTCTGCTGGTCGGAGTCTAGCATTTTTTCTTAAGGACCATTAAACTAAATAACAGCTGGTCCTGTGATCTGGTGTTATTTGGGGGTGAACAAAGTAATTTAAATTTGTACATGTTTTGAAATCAGCAATAGCTTGACTCTAAACTCTTAAGCAAAACCTGCAACCAACCTAAACAACCCTCCATGGTACAGTGGTTACCTTCTTGACTGGTTTCCTTTCCAATTGCGCTTTGAAGTAATACCTTTTAAAGCCTTATTTGGTCTAGACCACTGACATATTTAGGTCAGTGTCGGCAAAGCTACAGATAAGCAACGTATTTGAGTAAAATATCCCCCAAAAATATTGAAAACCAAATTAATTTCATTAACTCGTGTACAGAAACACATGCATTAAATGAAAAACTCAAATGTATAAAAACATCACACGTAAATACCCAATGAAGCGAATTCAGGTGAATAAACAGGTATAACGCAATTGGACAATAAAAGTATGAAATTTGTTTTAAAACATCATTAGACATGATGATTTACCATTTAAAATGTATTTCCTGCTTTCAAAAGCATTGTTTTATATGCAGAGATTAAGATTACTGAGTGTATTTTCTCATAAACTAAGCCGGAAATAGCAATCAGCTGTGCACACGTTTCCTCCCAATCTACCGGTGATTCAGTTAAACCGTACCCAATGATACAACTTCAAAGAATTTTGATGCAATGGTCGGAAGAAACTTCCTGCGCTACATGTATTTTGATTGTGAAAACGTTATGTTGACATTGAATAGTCAAACTGCCTCAAATATGACTTTTCGCGAGTCATGGTATGGCCTTTATGACATGTGTATCCATTCTCTTGCAACTAAAGTTTGTTTCAAGGCATCAATAGCAGTAATCTGACCGTGGTTGCTGTAAATAACGGTGAGTTGTGCAATCTAGCCTACCGATCACTTCGCATAGGATTTCGCCGAAATTATTGTAAACATTATTATAATTATTGAATGAAATTTTGAATATAATTAATAAAATATATTGCAAACATTAGACCAGGTAAACAATGAAAAACATTTTATTACCAGATATTATAATAATAAGATTAAATTGCATACTTCAGTTCGGATTTGTTGACTGGTATTTCCGGTGTTACGTGATCGCAGTGATCAGCTGATAAAGTTTTCTGAGATGGGGGAAAACATCGTGTCATTGGAAAACTTGAGTTTATTAAAAATGTTAGTAAATTTGGGGAGCCATGCTTTACCGCGCTCTATAACCGAGTTAGCGCTATATCGAAGAGCGCAATAACGAGGGACCACTGTAACCCAATTAAAATAGAAACCCTAGAGTAAAAACTCAATTGCTCAAAAAGTTTTTTGAAGCCCTGGTGTGAGACACTGCATTCTGTAGCAGCATCCCGTGCTTGTTGTCGGGGCGGGCTGATGTGGAGGGAGTGGGTGCAAGTGAATGACTTGGATGGTTTTGTGCCATCATGATTTCAACCACTGGCATAGAACTGACAACTAGTATAACTAGCGGGCCACACTGCTGCAGCTGGTGTATTGGAGTCAAACTGCTGGCACTCACTTTGACGCGGACACAAGGTTATTTGGGTTTTTCCAAATAGTGCTGTGTTTTCATTTTGCAGTCTGAATAGCTACACTGAGAAGTTAATGAAATATGATGAAATCAAGTAAACTGAGAAACTTGGCATGTGCAGTCCTTGCCATGGAGATGAAACACCTTAATTACAGGTTGTCTTAGTGGTCTGATGGCCAAGTAGGTCTAGCTTCTGCAATAGTCTGTTTTTGAACAACTAAATGAATGCACATTTCACTGATGTTTCAGATCGAGCGTGATATACGCAGTGACACAAGTGATATGGAAGATATTTCATTCAGCGAGAGTGACGAAGAATGTTCCAACAATACTCCAAGCAAACCAGTGATGAACGGCGTGACAATACCCCGTCTGATACGAAACCATGACAGCTAGGTGAAGTGTGGCACTCTACCTCAGGGGAGCACGCCAGTCCTGGAGAGGCTGCGACGCTCTGTCCACCGCCTGCACAGTCTAGACTTCACCTCTTTGTCGTTATGTGACTCATGCTACTAGTACACCAATGACAGCACCATAGAGTGTTCAAGTTGTTTACCTTGAATGCATATATATTCCTTAATGCTGTCAAGGGCTGGCTTCAGACTTATGTAGTGCCATTGTAATCAGAACTTGACATGTACAGTTAAGAATGGGCCTGCATGGTAGTTTTCATATTAGATCACAAGAAGTTAAGGTTTATGCATGTGTGTTCCTAAATATTTATCATATTTAAGATGATTTTGTTTGAAAAAAGAAAATGAGGAGAAAAGTCAAGTTTGAGGCTGTAGTGTCAGCTAACGTTCCATCTATATAATTTCTACATTAAACTCAGGTTCAAATTCTGATTGAACAAGCTGACGAATTTAGTATTTCATGTGACCAATATTATGTCAAGTCTCCAGGCTTAGTCTCCTCCTTAACATAACCACAAATATTCTGTTGCTTGTTCTGCTTATGTGTTGAATGCACTGCCGAGGACTATTGACCCGTTGACATGTTGGAAAAGTGACACACTGTCACAGTGTTGGATGTCCCATGTTCGGCATATCTTGTACTGAAGACAACTGTGCTATAGATGGCACCATCAAGGAACTAGACTTCTAGTTTGTTGCAGTAGATCATGCTCAAACCTTTACTTTCCTGTCTGCAAAATATAGTAATGGAGTTTTTCATTTCAATTCTGATTGATTGATCGTGTTGTGCAGACCATAGATTGTAATAGGGCTATGACTGCTTTGTGGAACATGGCCCTGGTTTGCAGGGGTGCATGTCACATGATATGTATGCACAGCAGCAGCAATATTTTTCTCAGTCCAAATGATTTCTGAAATGTGAATAGGGGAGGTAACTCTATTGTATTCAAGTGCCTTGGAGCTAGCTTTGGTTGTTTCGTATCAATCTCAGTTGTCAGACTTTGAAACCCCCAATATCTGTGGACATATTTCTCTATGATGTCTGATGCCATGTATAACTAAGAGAAAGTCTGTTTTAATTGTATTACAGTGATACAATTTGATTTTAAGGATGTGGTCCTTCTTGAAGATATCCTGCATACAGAAACAAGAGAGAGGAACCACATTTCAGTTTTAACAAAGAGCATAAACCACTACCAGAAAAAAATGTTATTATGTGAAAATAATGTCAACCATCTTCAAGGCAGCTTTTTACTTGGACTTATTAAAGGAGATTTTGAGAGAGGGACCACATTTGAATTGAAAATAAAGGCAAAAAAGTTGTAAAATATTATTTCCATATGCCGATTGAAAATGTTTAGCTATTTGTTCATTGAAGTCTGACTTTCACATATTTTAGTCATATGCTGTTGAAATCATGCATTTGAAAAAGTTACAAGAAAATAGTATAATATGCAAAGAATGAGTATAACCTTTCCCTTTGACATCAATAGGTCAAGCACAAGTCAATGTAAAGATGTAGTCATGGGAAAGTAATCCTTACATTTTTAATTATACATTTCCTGTTCATGAAGTTTGTTCACAAGTATGTCCAGGTTTTGGTGTATTCAAATGTATTCACTCTGATTAGTTAGATATTTGGAGAATAGAGTTAGCTCCCCTGGCCACAGCCGGTACCAACAAGAATTTTGGACAGATATATTAAGTGCATGAGCCAATCCTGGTGTTTCCGGACAGGAATCCTGAACACTGCCTGTACATGCTGAGCTGGTTAACTGCATGTAACAGTGTGTACACCTGATTATTAATTTGATAAACATATATCAATCAAATTTTCAGTCAATTTATTTCTGCAGAATGGTATTTTACTTGTTCCCCTGTGGGCCAGTATATGGTGTTATGTGGAGATGTGGGGGCTCCTGCGTCCCTGGATGTACTCTGGGAAGGGGTGTAGGGGGAGTGAGGGTGATTTGTGTCCGTGTAATCTCTGATGCTTTGTAACATGCAATATACAGTGTGACTATAATGATGATGATGATGAACCACGTCTATAATGCTACATAATGTTCCCTTTATACTTAAATTCATTTAAATACTTTTTCTCAGATTTATGTTGAACCAACATGTTTATTTTAGATCTGGAAAACACAATTTTTACTCCTTCTCAAATGTTTTCTACGTCATTACCAGTTAGTCATATTGTTATACAAGTATTGTATTTGTCATATGACATCCTAGCTTTGGAATACTAATGGCCTACTGCTTCCAATTACTGTTGCTTGGATTTGTACCCTTCAACGACTCTTCTCCTTGAGAAGCACAGGCATGTTTGAATGGTGTGTCTGTGTGTTTGTGTGGTGTGTCTGTGTGTTTGTATGGTGTGTCTGTGTGTTTGTATGGTGCGTCTGTGTTTGTATGCTGTCTGTATGTTTGTATGGTGTGTCTGCGTTTGTATAGTGTGTCTGTATGTTTGTATGGTGTGTCTGCATGTTTGTATGGTGTGTCTGTGTTTGTATGGTATGTCTGTATGTTTGTATGGTGTGTCTGTGTGTTTGTATGGTGTGTCTGTGTTTGTATGGTGTGTTTGTATGGTGTGTTTGTATGGTGTGTCTGTATGTTTGTATGGTGTGTCTGTATGTTTGTATGGTGTGTTTGTATGGTGTGTCTGTGTTTGTATGGTGTGTGTGTTTTTGTATGGTGTGTCTGTGTTTGTATGGTGTGTGTGTTTTTGTATGGTGTGTCTATGTTTGTATGGTGTGTTTGTATGGTGTGTGTGTTTTTGTATGGTGTGTCTGTGTGTTTGTATGGTGTGTCTGTATGTTTGTATGGTGTGTCTGTGTTTGTATGGTGTGTCTGTATGTTTGTATGGTGTGTCTGTTTGTATGGTGTGTCTGTATGTTTGTATGGTGTGTCTGTGTTTGTATGGTGTCTGTGTTTTTGTATGGTGTGTCTGTATGTTTCTACCATGCTACATGTTTTTACACTGCTGGAGAGATGACTGTGTCATGTGCCTGACTTAGTGCAATGTGTCAAAGATGTGACATTCCACATATTACCAAACATTTAAGTAGTGTTGTCAGACCAGGCAGTAGATAAATTTGCATAACATGCATGAGTAGCAACTTTACCTATGCTATTGTGAATCATCCGATACTTTCGTTGAAGATACTCCATTCTAACTTTTGCCTCAATGCATATGTGACAACCTATGGGCAATCTACTTTTACAAAATGATTTTGTTGTATTATGCTACAGTGTTGCAAGACTGAACGCTATGAACATCTGTATGATATTGTTGTATTATGCTACAGTGTTGCAAGACTGAACGCTATATGAACATCTGTATGATACTGTTGTATTATGCTACAGTGTTGCAAGACTGAACGCTATGAACATCTGTATGATATTGTTGTATTATGCTACAGTGTTGCAAGACTGAACGCTATATGAACATCTGTATGATACTGTTGTATTATGCTACAGTGTTGCAAGACTGAACGCTATGAACATCTGTATGATATTGTATTATGCTACAGTGTTGCAAGACTGAACGCTATATGAACATCTGTATGATACTGTTGTATTGTGTTACAGTGTTGCAAGACTGAACGCTATATGAACATCTGTATGATACTGTTGTATTGTACTATTGTGCTACAGTGTTGCAAGACTGAACACTATATGAACATCTGTATGATATTGTTGTATTGAAACTATTGTGCTACAGTGTTGCAAGACTGAACACTATATGAACATCTGTATGATATTGTTGTATTGTGCTAGTGTTGCAAGACTGAACACTATATGAACATCTGTATGATATTGTTGTATGGTACTATTGTGCTAGTGTTGCAAGACTGAACACTATGAACATCTGTATGATATTGTTGTATGGTACTATTGTGCTAGTGTTGCAAGACTGAACACTATGAACATCTGTATGATATTGTTGTATGGTACTATTGTGCTAGTGTTGCAAGACTGAACACGATGAACATCTGTATACCTGTTTTTCTACAGTGATGTATTTGATAGTGTTATGATTTGCTTTTGTACAAGTTGTTTTGTCCAAGGCAATGAGATAGGAGTTTGTGCGGTACATTAGTCAATTTATTCTGCTTTATTTAGGTTATTGTAGGTTGACCAATCCCTAACTAGAGATCCAGGAATAAGGAAAAAACCTATGCCTTATCATGTATGGGATGTGTATGTAAATTGATGTTAGCAACGTTAAAGTTCCTATTCCTATGTATTCCTATGATATTTGTTATAAGCACAGTTCATGATCGTGATTGACAGGTGATGCAATATCTACACGTCAGCCTCCCTGCTAACTCTAGCACTATTATATGTCTGCAGGTTCACTGTTTTAATTCAATGTTTGGTCTGATATGGATATCACTGTAAAGTGTTCTTCTGCTGTACGTAGGTTATCAACTATATTTCATAAAAGGCTTATTTGGCCAAACATTCCAGAACTCAAAAGAATGGGGAACGTTTGGCAACTCTTTATTTAGTGGAAACCATGTACAAATGCTTGAAAATAATATGTCAGTAATGTGATGCCAGATTTTACTCCGCAATATATGGGCCTGCCGCTTTTTGACCATTGTCTGATGGGAGTTTCTGGTGCTGCTTCCCTGTGGAAGATGAAATATGGCTTAGCACGTGATAAGGAGCTTGTCTTTTCTTAGCTATATGTGATGTATTCAAGCTGAATGTACATGGCTTTCTACTAGATTCACAGATTTCTACTACAGGTAGATATGACAGTTTGTGGGAAAACGCATATACTACAGTTTCAGAATGTTTATGTTGCAACAGTTGCCACCACGCTTTCCTCTGCCTTAGCTGTGGATGACTGATGAGGATGTGCGGATCTCTTGACATTCTCCTGCACAGATGTATAGACAGCTGTGTCACAGGAGGCATCAACACATTGGGCTGTTGTAGTGGGGAAAGAGGGTCAGGTCAAAATGGGGACATCTCAGAAAGTCAGGTTTTGAACAATTATCTCGTGATGAGCAGTACACCTGTGTATGGACGTTGAGTGTGTGTGTCTGGATGTAGAGTGCATGTGTCAAGACAATACACCTGTGTATGGACGTTGAGTACACCTGTGTATGGACGTTGAGTGTTTCTGTCTCTGTTCTGTGTGTGTGTCTGGATGTAGAGTGTATCTGTCTGGACGTTGAGTGTGTGTGTCTGGATGTAGAGTGCATGTGTCAAGACAATACACCTGTGTCCGGACATGGAGTACACCTCTGTATGGACGTTGAGTGCACCTGTGTATGGACGTTGAGTACACCTGTGTATGGACGTTGAGTGTTTCTGTCTCTGTTCTGTGTGTGTGTCTGGATGTAGAGTGTATCTGTCTGGACGTTGAGTGTGTGTGTGTCTGGATGTAGAGTGCATGTGTCAAGACAATACACCTGTGTCCGGACATGGAGTACACCTGTGTATGGACGTTGAGTGTTTCTGTCTCTGTTCTGTGTGTGTGTCTGGATGTAGAGTGTATCTGTCTGGACGTTGAGTGTGTGTGTGTCTGGATGTAGAGTGCATGTGTCAAGACAATACACCTGTGTCCGGACATGGAGTACACCTCTGTATGGACGTTGAGTGCAGACAGAGTGCAACTGTTGTCAGTGTAAATAGCTATTTATGTTATCATGAAATGCTTTACTGTAATTGCAACATATCGAATTGGGGTACTGAATGATTCATGCAAGTGTATTCTCATATAAGAAAAAATGGTACACTATCCAGGAAACATGAAACAATTTAGGTGATATCAGGGTCTGAATGAAAAGTTGACAAAACCAACAAAGTGTATTCCAAAGTGAGCAAGCATCTTTTCTGGTTTATAGGGTGTGAGCCCTGTGGTACAAGACCTTGTTAGAGGTAGGGCTGTAACCATAGTAACGTCAGCATATAATACATCATCTTCCCGAGGCAAGAGAATTAACTGACTATAAAAGAATGATGGTATTATGGAGTTACGTTTTGGCTGGACTAACGAGTCTATGCATAGTCCAATCAAAATCGCGCACCGAAATCGAAATCCGGTTCGTAAACTGTCGTGCAAATTTCGGTCGATTGCAGCATTTGCAAAACATGTGCACCGCCAACTCGTCAGCAGATATTTTCCAAATCTTTTCATGTTTTTAATCCAGGTGCTCACGTGATTTGATGCATTTCGCGATGTAAAACCCGTTTAATCACAATATAGATCTTGATTATCGACATGATCGTCCTGAACAGGCGCCAACATTTGGTGTGAAGCAAGTGATACGATAGGTGGAATCTGATTGGTCCACAGGAGAGGCATAGAAGGGACATAACTGGTAATAGCCACTGGTGGCGCTACGTTCGAGCCCAGTAATTCCAGCTTAGTTCGGCAAGGGTGGAAACTGGACTTTTAAAGTCAGTTCACTCTCTTGCCTCGGAAAGATGATAATA